CCTGCCATGTGTGGAAGGTAAGAGATGGCCCTTTGTTTTCCTTATGTGACCTCCCTATACATGTAAAGGAAACTCAAGCTTCCTGTGTGGCTGCGGCTGTGTAATTAGCTTTAGGCAGGGCCCCTAGAGCTGTAAATCCTGTACTGGGACATCCTGGTAAGAGGTCCAGCCACCCAGACTGCAGCCTTCACACTTGAATGCAAGCTTATTTGTGTAAATGAGAGCAGTTGTGCCTCTGCCCTTGCCTAACAATTATTTTAAATAAAAAAGGAGCAGCCCTCTATAAATGAATATGATTATAGCTAAGGTTTTTACTTTTACAGCTGTAACATAATACATACTGATTTAGACCTGGTAATAAGTTTTCTAAAATCTATCCAAAGGGTAGATTTTATATTAAAGAACATGGTAATTAGCACCTTCAAAATGAAAGATATTGGTCAAGCGTACCAGCACTGACCGATAGGACAAGTAGGTAAGTCTAGAAGGGGCAGATTGAGTAGTATAATTTTAGTGTTGTTACATTTTGTTCATCTCTTGTGAAATCTTCACTGAGATAAAAAATGCCGGTTTCTGAGGAAGTGCTTGTGTATGGTTGCATTGGAGGCCATATGGATTGACGGGCAGGGTGTGGGGTTTGGATTGAGACTACTGTCCCTAAAGAATGGTTGACCCAGGGAGAGTTACATCATCAGCGCCCACCTGTGGGGATTCAGGGACCTGTGCTGGGTGTGGCGCAGCTGGGGCATGATGCCTGTCCGTGGGAGGGGCTTGCGGCCTTCAGTGTCTTTTCCTATTTGGGGAGCAGTGCATATATTTCGATGTTTTTATTTTAAGAAATATTTAATATCTTAAGAAGTATTATTTGAGAAATACATGTGACACACTCCTTGGATTATTGTTATTTGAGATTATTCTTAGCATATGTAGAGAGACAGCATCCCTCCTGTTTTTGTGAGGAGAGCTACTTTTTATTCCCCCCACACACACCTTGACTTCACTGGACTAGAGGTTGTGGTGGGTGCCTATGTGACACCCTCATGCAGGCCGGGGAGGTGTAGTGCTAACTTCCATCGCACTCCTTTTCGCAGCTTTCAGACCCTGGAAGTGCTGCATGCTGTGTTGTCCTCTCCCTCCACTCTGCATCTCTCCCAGGCCTGGGGCTCCAGGGAGGGTCTGGGCCAACGATTCCTGCTCCTTAACCTGGTGCGGGGGGCCAAGGTCTCTGGTGAATTACCACCTGTTTTGGAGGATCCTTGTCCTTAATAGGGGTCATTTTAGAAAATTGCGGAAGCTTTTTTGACTGTCTCAATGGTTAGTGGAGACTTGATATTTAATAGGTAGGGGCCCTGGAATTCTAGACTCAATGAAGTGACAGTTCTGCAGAATGAAAACTTATCCTGAGATCTGCAAAACTTTGGAATATCTTGCTGAATAATTTATGTGGATAGAAAAAAAACCTGTTTATGACTGAGCCTAGAATCTTATTACATCTTACACAAAGAAAGCATTTTTTTAACATACCTTTTGGTATATATGGAATTTTCCAGGGCTGTAGTTACTGTAGACACTGAGGGGAAATTGTTTTGTTCTCAGCTATGAAGTATATTAGGGTTCTCCAGAGAGATGGAACCAACCTTATTATAAGGAGTTGGCTCACATGCATATGGGGGCTGAGGAGTCCCAAGATCTGCAGTTGGTACGCTGGGGCCCCCGGAGAGCCGCTAGCGTAAGTTCCAGTCTGAGAGTTGGAGTCCAAAGCCAGGAAAAGACTGACATCCCAACTCAAGAAGTCAGTCAGGAAGAGTTCCCTCGGACTCCAGCCTTTTTGTTCTATTCAGGTCTTCGATTAGTTGGATGAGGCCCGCCCACATTAGGGAGAACACCTGCTTCACCCAGCGTATGAATTCAATCATTAATCTCCATCAGAAACACCCTCACACCCAGAATACTGTTTGACAAAATGTGTGGGTGCCCTGCAGCTCAGTCAGGTTGACATAAGATGAGCCATCACACCAAGCGTGGTTCCCCCTTTTAGAAAATCACATTCTGGAGAGCGTGCAATGGAGATGGCATGTATCTGAGTTGCCAGGACCTCGTGCCCAAGTCAACACTGTTTGTAACTGTCAGATTCACAGTGATTCAGCTTAGAGCTGTGCATTTCTGACTGTTTTATTCCTAGTATAGTCTGGCTTGAACAGTTACGTGTCAAAATTCGTATTTATTTTATTGTATTATATTTTTACATATTTATTTATTTATTTTTGGCTGCGTTGGGTCTTCGTTGCTGCGTGCGGGCTTTCTCTAGTTGTGGCAAGTGGGGGCTACTCTTAGTTGTGTCGCGTGGGCTCCTCATTGCAGTGGCTTCTCTTGTTGCAGAGCATGGGCTCTAGGCGTGTGGGCTTTGGTAGTTGTGGCACGAGGGCTCAGTAGTTGTGGCTCACAGGCTCTAGGGCATAGGCTCAGTAGTTGTGGCACATGGGCTTAGTTGCTCCGCGGCCTGTGGGATCTTCCTGGACCAGGGCTTGAGTGTCCCCTGCATTGGCAGACGGATTCTTAACCACTGAGCCACCAGGGAAGCCCAGCAGGCGGACTCTTAACCACTGTGCCACCAGGGAAGTCCTAGTAACTCTGTGTTTAACCACTTGAGGAACTGCCAGGCTATCTTCCAAAGTGGCTGCACCATTTTGCATTTGTGCCAGCAGTGCTTGAGGGTTCCAGTTATTCCACATCCTCTCTAACATTTGTTACCATCTATCTTTTTGATTATAGCCACCCTAGTGGGAGGGAAGTGGTAGTTCATTAGGTTTTAACTCTGGGACAGAGACAGCAGCAGGAAAGGGACAGTCTACTACGTTGTCCAGTATGGTTTTCACCATGTAACTTTAAATTTAAAAAGATTAAAATTTAAATTTTAGTTCCTCAGTCACACTAGCCACATTTCAAGTGCTCAGCAGCCACAAGTAGCTAGTGGCTACTGTATTTCGGATAGCACAGATGGATACCGAACATTTTCATAGTTGCAGTAAGTTCTGTTGGATTGTGCTGGTCTAGAAAAAGTTAATTTGACAGCAGCTGGAGGAGTAGGCAGAGAATGGGAGAGGGTCTGAGTAGCGTAGGAAGGAGTGCAGGCATGGAATTTGGAGCAGAGAAGAAAGAAACTTTGGGGAGCCATTTACAAGATATGAGACTTAGAAAAAAGATAAATACAAAGGGAAAGTGAGAGGTTGACGGAAAGGTTCTTAGGAACTTGATTTTTCTACAAAATCAACTTAGTGATGGGTCCAATCTAATTCCTTAATTTTACAGGTAGAAAAGCACAAAGTTGCCGGTTGGCAGGGATCAGCATAACTGTGGTGCACGTGTTGTCGGAAGTCGCTCGTGTCTGTCTTGGTCATTTTCAGTGTCCTCTGGGAACCTATAAGGAGCAGCTTGGTGGAGCTAAACTAGAGGGAGTGCCAACTCTGGGCTGAGTGCTCCAATGGGACAGGGAAGTAGAAAGCAGAGGGCTTCAGGGCAAGCAGACGGGTGATTTGATTGTCACCAAGTACAGCATTTTCTGGAAGGAAGAACCATGAAGTTGGGAGAAGGCTGGAGAGGAGACTGAGGTCTCGCTGTGTTTTGCTTGGTGTCAAGAACAGGAAGGGTGAGGTGTGTTAGGGCGAGAGAGAGACATGGACATATATATACTAACAAACGTAAGGTAGATAGCCAGTGGGAAGCAGCCGCATGGCACAGGGAAACCGGCTCGGTTCTTTGTGGCTGTCTGGAGGGGTGGGATAGGGAGTGTGGGAGGGAGGGAGACAAAGAGGGAAGAGATATGGGAACATATATATATATGTATAACTGACTCACTCTGTTATAAAGCAGAAACTAACACACCATTGTAAAGCAATTATACCCCAATAAAGATGTTAAAAAAAAAAACAGTGTTCTTTTTGCTCCGAGGCTTTATCACGGTGAGGGTGGAGCAGAGCCCCCTCTGCCCTGTCTCACTGTTCTGCCACCAAACCAGTTGGTACAGTTTGTGTTACGTCAGGCAAGATAAATCTGGAGCATTCGAATACAGTCTAGGTGAAGTGTTCATTGAAGCTATTGGAACGAGCCTTTTCTTTTCCAAAAGGCTATTCTGTAAGTTTCTCTTTATTTTTATTAGTGTGTAGAAATCTCCCTAAAATAGACCAACTTCTTTTTTGTGCTCAGTGTAGTTTCTCAGCGTCATCGTACATAAACTTCCTTACGTTCACAGTAGGCTTTCATTTTTGTTAGTTGTATTATTTACTTTACCCAGACCAGGCCAATGTGTCTTTCCAAACATGATACTACTATAGAGACTGCTTTTCTAGCTCAGCTAATAGAGGTATGTTGAAGGTTTTTTCTGGCCGTAGTTTTGTGTGTGGCCAGTGTTATTCCAGGTCTTCTAAGCTTGAAATTGAGTCTGTTCCACTTAGGCGAAAGGTTTGCTGTCATGGTTTTAAGGGTATAAAAGAGTGCCCTTACTTTCTGAACCAAATATTGAGGCTTATGTTCTTATAAGGCATTTTGATGCTTCCTCTTGATAAAAGAGATATACTGGGAAATATATTTAGATCCTGAATGTTGGAGTTTCTGGGCTGTTTTGCTGGTTTATGTGGAAATATCACAACAAATATTTGAAATTAGGACTGTGCTGGATAAGTGTGATCACCTTAGAGACCTGCAAAGTGGCTCATTCTCAAGTGCTAGGATGATTATTGCTTCACTAAATGTACTGTGTGTTATTCTTTTTACTGAGAAAACTAGAATGTAGAAAATAATTTCAAGTTAGTAGTGTTCAAGAAGGAAGCCTTGAAAACAGGGTGCATTCTGATAAGTCTAAGAATTTTTCATCCTTTATTTTCTGTAGCGACATCTAGCTTTCAAACATTTCTATTTAGTTCATGGTAAGATCCTTCAAAAACAAATTTTTAAAGAGCTTTCTTACAGTTTTGTTCTCAGTATAATGCCATTTATCTCCACAGATTTGCTTGTAAATGCATCACGAAGAGGCAGCCCAGAATGAAGAAAACAAGCAGGAGTGTTGGCTCAGTGCCTAAGGTGTCTGGGATAAGCAAAGCGCAAGCAGCAGACAAAACGAAACCCGAAAACAGCTCTTCAGCATCTGCAGGAGGCAAACTCGTGAAACCTGGAACAGCAGCTTCGTTGTCAAAGGTATTTACGTGGTTGTGTTTAAATATGTGATGAATTGTAGGAGGAGTGAGTCTTCATATGATGTTTGATTTATCACATAAACGTTATTTAGGATTCACCCTCTTCAAAGAGAGTTCACGTTGTGGTGGACTTAATTGGTGTTTGGTCGGTCTTTACGAACTAAACCAAGTAGCAGGCTTACTTGTGAGCAAATCGCTGGGCCCGTGTGGGAGAGCCTGCCTTCAAGGAGCTTGTGGAGGAAAGGATGGAGGCAAGTCACTGGCACGAACAACTAAAATACAAGTGAAAAAGTCAGATGCCCTGGGAGAGCAGGAGAGTAGCGTAAACAGTTTTAAGTAGGAAAATATTGTTTCTGCCCGAGAAGGCTTAATGAAAAGAACATGTGCGTGAGGTCTTAAAGGACGGCCAGTATGACATTCCTGAAACCCCTGAACAGGGGTTTTTATTCCCACCCATCCCCCTACGCTGTTACCATAAACTGTTACTTGTTTTTTGACAACTGATCCAGTATTAATCCCAGGCAAAATTGGGTGATATTAATTTAGTCAGAGCATAACTAGTTTTCTTGTTACACTCCTTTCTTTAGAGGCTAGTTTAGTTTTTGTTAGTAAAGGGTAGTGGTACGTTAGATCCTGGGCTTCGGGAGCAGACAGGCCCAGGCTGGGCATGTGCATCCTAGGGCTGCGGTCAGGATGGAAGTGAAGGTGTAGGAAAGAGGACGGTGCAGGGCCTGGCTCATGGCAAGGGCTTTGTAAGGGACTGGCAGTAGAGTTTTTCCTGGTTAGCTCTGGAAACTTCCTGCAGCTCAGGATTGATTGACAGTAGCAGGCTTCCCATGGGTGTTCTCAGTGTCTGTGTTGAGATGACTCTGGGCCATTTTTCTGCTGGTCAAGTCTTAGATTCACTGGACAGAGATGCACATGGTCTTCTTCCAGTCTTTCTCAGTCCAGAATTCACTTATTTTTCTTTGCTTGCTTGTTTTGAGGTTTGGTGTTTTGGGGTAGAAACTTTGACTCTATGGAGAAAACCTGGAGAGAGTTTTTGCTCGTCTGTTAGGGAGGAACCAAGAAGTACCTGAAACGCGATCTGGTCAGAAGCCTTTTGTCCAGGAAAGGCTTTACAGATGTGACAATTATTTTAAGAAGCACCTCACAGGAAGAGCTGATGAGGGACTTCCTTATATGTGTTGAAAGATCTAGCAGGAAATGCTGGTTTTTCTATTCCAGGGTTGTCGAAACTGAATGCAGACTTACTCTGTGGGCTTGGAGATGCCACCAGATTTTCTCCTTGCTACATCCCTGATGAGCAGCTGGGTGTCATCCTGCGGCCCGGAGGGTGATACCAGGAGTAGACCTTTGCCCTGCTTCCGTTAGTCTGAATCAGCACGCTGAGCAATTTCCTTGGTGGCAGTGCTGCCTCTCTCTCGTGTAAGAAAGCTGGTATTTTCTGCCCCAGCTGTTCACTCAGTTGCTCGCCTGTTTTCAGAGTGGAGTGCCTGTGTGCCTGGGCGACCCGTGACTTATGGGGCTGGAGGAGCAGGCTGAAGCGTTGGCACGGGGTGTGCACCACTGCCTGCTCTGTTGCCTCCTCCTTGCTGGCAGGCAGTGTCTCTGAGGTTCACTCTGGAGCGTGTCCTGAGCAGCATGTCTGGTCTTCCAAAGCATGTATCCTGAGTCGATGGCAGCCTAGTTTTGAGCAGTGAGTACTTCTTCATTGTAAGGCAGAACTATATCCCTGCTCTGTGCCAGCTGTCCATGGCTTTGGCTTTGCTGAGTTGGCTGATTTAAGTAGTTCTGTGTGTGTGTGTGTGTGTGTGTGTGTGTGTGTGTGTGTGTGTGTGGAGTGGGGAGGGTCATAGAAGAGGTGAAACTATTTGGGAACACTTTACCTCAACTAGAGCAAGTGCTTTACTTAAAAAAGGAGGGGGAGAAAGTCATTGAATAGAAATTAGAGTAAGAGGGAAAGAAGAAAATAGTGAAAATGATAGAAAAATTGGAAAAAGCGAAAGGACCTAGGGAACCCACAAACTTGTGTTATTTTATTTTTATAAGTTTCATATTTCACTGTGCTTCTCTAGCATATGGTCACTTCCCACAACTTGAATTCTGTAACTGATGGAGCCTTTATGATTACCAGAAGAATGAAGCATTTGGCTTTTAATCATTGAGACACCGTGTCCACACATCCACTCTCGTGGACACCCACACGGGTCTGTCACTGCGCAGGATTCACATAACACCAACACTTTTCTTACACTTGGCAGGGTACAGGGATATGTGTTTCTTTTCTTGGCTGCAACCAAGGATTGAAACCAGCCCTGGCATTGAACGTGCCGAGTCCTGACCACTGGACCTCCAGGGAATCCCCAAGGATATGTGTTTCTTTACCTCTCATTTCAAATGTTCTTTGTAGCTAGATCTAGTGAGATGTTGGGTAGGACCTTTTTCAGTCTGAATGGAGCTTCTGTAAACATGAAAAGAAGCACTATGGCTGTTCACAGCATGTTTGGAGGAAATTAATTGGTCCCGTTTCTGTGAGTAGCTGTAACATCTGGCTTGGGCCTTTGTGTGGGTCTGTCTTCTTTGTCACAGCCAGCAGAGAGGGTTATTTCCAGGTAGAGGTGGTCTCCTACATGCCTGCACTTTCCGGCTGTCCACACTTAATCCTTTAGAAGTAGTACACTTTTTCATTGTCCTGGGGATACTTTTTTCTAAAACTTGATAGATGAGAGTTAGTAAGTTAGGGTTTATCTAAATAATTGATGATTCTCAATGATGATTTGTGATCATACCTTTTCAGTGTAAAAGTTAGTTCACAGGGGCTTCCCTGGTGGCGCAGTGGTTGAGAGTCCCCCTGCCGATGCAGGGGACACGGGTTCGTGCCCTGGCCCGGGAAGATCCCACATGCTGCGGAGCGGCTAGGTCCGTGAGCCATGGCCACTGAGCCTGCGCGTCCGGAGCCTGTGCTCCGCAACAGGAGAGGCCACAACAGTGAGAGGCCCGCGTACCGCAAAAAAAAAAAAAAGTTAGCTCACAGTTTGACTGAGTAATCCATCTCTGAAACCTGGAAGGTAGAAATTTTAAACTAATCTTAAATTATGAGACGGAGATGAAGACTATGAAACTTGGACTTTACCTGGAGAAGCATGTATTCTTTGGTTGTATTATTTCGTTATTTGTATCTGTATGTTTTTACCAAATGATTGTGTTTTGCACCTGTTATTAAAAAGTAGGCGAAAAATCTATTCCTTCATCAATTTCATTTTTTTTTGACTGTTGCTGATGGGGGATGTTTACATGTGGGAATGCACATGTATTTATAGAACTGTGTAACAAAAATTAAAACAGAAAAAAATATCAGAGCCTGCCAAGTACCTTCGTGTAAAAGGCAAGTTGGAAAGTGCAGAGTTGTTTCTTGTTTTGTTTTTACTTTTCTGATAAAGTAGAACATACACCCAGAGAAGTTCACAAAGCATCTGTGTTGGGCTTAGTGAGGGGTGAATGTACCCTGGGCCATCAGCCAGGTCAGGAAGCAGAGCCTGCCTGCACCTCAGTGGCCTCCCCCCCGACCCCTCTGTGCCCCCTTCATCACTGCCCTTTCCTTCCTCTCCGGAAGTAACTCCCACCCTAACTTCTAGCCCCCAAGATTCATTTTGCCTGTTTTGGATCTTTATATAGATGTAATTGGACATGAAGTTCTTTTTATGTGTGTCTGGTTTCCTTAACTCTGTTTAGGTCATGATCTTCATCTCTGTTGTTGCCTATAGCAGCAGCTCCTCCCTTTTTTTTTTTCTTAATTGAAGTATAATTGATTTACAATATTGTGTTAGTTTCAGGTGTACAACAAAGTGATTCAGCTATATTATATATATATTTAGATTATTTTCCATTATACGTCTTAAAAAATATTGATTATAGTTCCATGTGCTGTAGTAAATCCCTGTTGCTTATCTTATTTTATGTATAGTAGTGTGTATCTGTTAATCCTGTACTCCTGATTTATCCACCCTCCTGCCACCTTCCCCTTTGGTAACCATAAGTTTGTTTTCTATGTCTGTGAGTCTGTTTTGTATATACATTCATGTGTAAGCAGCTCCTCCTTGCTGATTACTAACCGTGGAATGTCCACAAGCCATACACCTCTTCTGCCCTTGATGGACATCTATCTGGAGTTTCCTTTGGGGCTATTAGTCATAGTACTGTTATGAACATCCTACACACGTCTTTTATACGCAGGTGCACCCATTTCTGTTGACTCCATAACCAGGAGTGAAACTGTTGGGTTGTAAGGTGCATTCACCTTTCATAGGTAGATGGCCAGTCATTTCCCAAAGGGGTTACTCTGGGATGCCCCACATCCTCACCTGCACTTACATTACTCTTTTCATTGTAACCATTCAGAGAGGTGTTGTAAAGTGGCTTTAATTTGCATTTGTGTTGTTATCGATGAGATTAAGCACCTTTTCATATCTTATTTTTAAGTGTTTAGTGGACATTTAGATATTCTCTTATGTGAAGTGCCTGTTCAAATCACTTGCCCATATTTTTACTGTGGTGTCTTTTTTTCCTCAACTTTGTGTGTGTGTGTGTGTGGTAAAACACACATAACATTTATCATCTTAACCATTGTTAAGTGTACCGTTTTGTGGCATTAAGTACATTCACATTGCTGAGTAACTGTCACCACCGTCCATCTTCAAAACTTTTTCATTTTCCCAGACTGAGACTCTGTCGCCATTGAACACTAACTCCCCATCTCCTCCTCCCAGTCCCTGGCAACCACCATTCCACTCTCTGTCTCTGTGAGTCTGACTACTCTGAGTACTTCATATGAGTAGAATTACACAGTATTTGTCTTTTTGTGACTGGCCTATTTACCGTAGCAAAATGTCTTCAGAGTCATCTACGTTGTAGCATATTGCAGAATTTCCTTCCTTTTTAAGGCTGAATAATACTCCACTGTATGTATAGAGCACACTTTGTTTATCCATGGTTCCATCA